TTTGGATTGCCCTTGGATGGAAGCCTGAGCTGGGTGCAGTTGGACATGAGAAATGGGAGATGTCACCTCCCTGGCAGGGGTCACACCTTGCCTGGGGTGGCTCTTGCACCCCAGAACAGCTGATTGTGGATGAGTGTGTGAGAGCTTCACCTGCATGTGAGTGATGATGGGCTGCACCTGGGGTACCAGGGCCAGCTTTGGCTCAGTTTGGGGCCATCCTTCCTCCCCAGGGATGCTGCAGGGTGTCCCCAGCTGTGCCATGGCCCCACTCAGCCGGGCAGGAGCCTGGGCTGATCTGTGTTCATCCCATACAGAGGAGTCTGGGCTGGGCTGCTCCTGCAGCTGCTCCTGCCTTCTACCCCATGGGGCCTTGGTTTCCCTGAGCATGGCCTGGTTGCACAAGTCCCAGAAGTTCTCTTAACCCAACAACTGCAGACCCCCAGAAGTGTTTTACCTGTCCAGCTAAGGAAATATTGCTACCCTGCATCCAGAAAGGAAGTGTATTTTCCTAGTTCATGCTGATTTTCAGCAGTCTCCTTCATTTTTATGATTCATTATGGTTCTCATTTTCTGGTTATAGTCACAGAATCGGCTTTCACTGTGATTCCCACGTTCCCAGAGCTGAAGAGCCCAGCATGGGCTGTGCTTCACTCTCTGCCCCCTCCCTCCATGCCAGGCTCCCCTCGTGGCTCCTGCTGCGGTGCTGGGAGGGAGCCTGGCTGGGTCCCTGCCTGAGCTGCAGGCAGCAGCTTGTTTCCCAGTGACCTACAAGAGCTGTGTTTGCTGCCCAGCAAGCCCAGTAGCACCTCTGAGGCTGCAGGGACGTGTCCTGGGCTTCTCTTTCAGCTCCAAGCCCCCTTTTGTCCCCAGAGTGCGAGACAAAAGCGCAGCGAGCAGCGAGAGCTGTCGGGCGTGTTAGTTATGATCCCATCAGCCCTGTTTATGATCTCATGATTCAAATCTCTGCCATGGGGAGCAGTGGTGCTGCTGGGCTTGTTTTAACAAGCTCTTGCAGGATGGCTGCTGGAGGCAGCTCCACCAGAGAGGCAAAAGCCTCTGTTGTAGGAGCAGAGCAAGGTGACCTGACAGGTGTCTGGTTCCTGAGATTTATCCCAGACCTGGGCTGGCTGCCTCCCTTGACATTGTCCCCTGTGGTTTGTGCTGTCTCTGCAGCTGGGGATGAGGCTGGGAGGATGCACCACTGAGGAGATTTCCCTGTGGGCTGCAGTGTGTGGGTGGTTCACACGTGGCGTGTGTGACACAAACTGCCAGGGCCAGCACGCTATGCATCCTGGCACCTATAAAATGTGCACTGTGCTTGGGGTGGGTGTGTGCCTGTCCTGTTTGTCTCCATTTATTAATCCACAATATTTTAACCATCACAACCTCCCAGATAGCCTGTGGGACATGGCTCTGCTATATGTGCTCCATGCTGGCCAGCCAGAGCTGGGAGTAGCATTATCCAGGGATGCAAAACATCAATTACTGCAATCCATTCCCCATGTCTGCTGTCTCAAGCCTGGGGACTGTTCCAAAGTCTTGAGTTATCCCAGTCTTTAGTTCAGTTTCTATTAAAGCTCATGAAAAGATTCCTATAACTGCAACTGGACTTCCTCGTTTGACTTTCGCTTTCTAAAGACCAGATTAATTTCATGGGATCTGCAGTGGAAAACTCAGCTGTGCCAAGAAATGTAGACAGCTTTGCAGGAGCAGACATTTCAAATTGCTGGGCTGCAAACAACTTGGAGCAACTTGTAAAGCCATGTGAAATGAAAACAGTTTTCCAGTTAATCTGCCAGTAAAAAAAAAAAAAAATTAAAAATGTCCCAGTGTTAAGAGGAACAGTTTTTTGGCTTGGGCTGTGATTTCAGTGGGTTTAAGATGATTTATATGGGGGCTTCTGGAAACTCTGTTTTGTAGAGAGTTTGGTTCTTGTGCTGCTCCTTTGGTGTCCACTGTGCTGAGACAGGGCAGTGACCATCAGCCCCTATTGGGGGTGGAGGTTGGGAAAAGATTTTTCTGGAGCAAAGTGTTCATGCAGGTTGGCATGCTTGCCATATAGAAAGGACAGTGCTTATAAAGGGAATCACCTGGGGAAGTGCAAAGTATGAATCTCAGAGCACTCTGACTGTTCCCTGCTTTACATCTTGTGATGAAGCTGATGCTCCTCAAAGTCCTGGGTCAGGCAGGTGCTCAGGGGTGCCTGCACTGCTGGTCTGGGTGCAGAAATGACCTAGGTGTGCCTGCACTGCTGGCCAGGCTGCAGAAATGACCCAGGTGCGCCTGCACTGCTGGTCTGGGTGCAGAGGTGACCCAGGTGCACCTGCACTGCTGGTCTGGCTGCAGAAATGACCCAGGTGTGCCTGCACTGCTGGTCTGGCTGCAGAAATGACCCAGGTGTGCCTGCACTGCTGGCCAGGCTGCAGAAATGACCCAGGTCTCTCTGCCTGCCAGCTCCTGGGTGCTCAAGTCCAAACTTGAGGTCTGCAGTGTCAAAGGGTAGGGAAGGGAAGTGAAACCAAAAACCAGAAGCTGAGGGAGTGTTTTAAAGAAATGGGGGTCTCTCTCATGATGCAAGAGGCCATGACTGGGCTGAAGGCAGTGCCCTGCTCTGATTTCCCTGATTCCAGGACATGGCTTCTTTCAGTTCCTTCCAGACACTTGAGAATAGGGAAGAGTGCAGAAGGGCTGTGGTGAGCCTCAAATTCACCTTCAGGAACAACTGCTTGGCCTGACCTGGTAAGAAGTGCCCCTGTTGGATGCAGCTGCCCTGCTCCCCAGGAGGCAGAAACTTTCCAAATCCAGAGAAAGCTCATCTGAACAGCAAAAGGCCTGGGAAGACCACATGTCAAAGCTGGGTGATAATTTCCCATTGCCTTACAGGGTGTGTGGGTGTAAGTGTCAGAGTTAATTTCTGGGACTTGCTGAAGGTCATCTGAGCTTTAATGTGATTCAATGGTGGGGTTTTAATTCTTCTTGTGAGCAAAGTCCCACAGCTGTACATGGGGAAACTCAGCTGTGCTGCCTGGCACAGCATGGCTGTGATTTTGTCTCTCCATTTCTGAAATAAAGGATAAACAAAAGCTGTGAAGGAAAACTGTGCAAGAATTGGGCATTTTGTTATTTGACTGTGTTTGAGAAATGGAAGCTGTCTGGTGTAGTAAAGCCTTTGAAGGTAAATACCTACCTAAAATAGGTAAAAGATTATTTTATATCTTTAAATATCCCTGCAAAGAGGTAGCAGGAGTAGCCCTGTGAAGGACAAAATTTAGAGGTGTCATTTCTCTTAGCAGACATCCAGTTTGCCTTCAAGTATTCCCCTAGCATTTACATGAGCACTTTCCCCTTTATTTATTTGTTTGTTTGTTTGTTTATTGTCTGCCTAATGGTTTCAGCCTTATCACAAAGAATGATAGCAGCACATCACTGCAGGAGAGCTTGCAGTTGCTCTTGCAGTTCCAAGTAAGTAGTAAATAGCTCACTCAGGAAAAAATAAATGCTACTTTTATCAGTCTGTCCATGGCACCCATATGTCCAATTTGGGACTGATCACTCATGCAGAAAAGCTAATAACACTAAGTATTCTGCTTTTAGACTCCACAGGCAGAGACAGGTTATGTGACCTCTGTTTGCCCCACAAGCCTGGTATTGTGCTGCTTCATCCACTGCCAAATTTTGTTTTAAAGGGGAAGCAGATGTGGAGCACAATGAAGGGAACTGGATAAAGAATTTCAGGCCTGATTAAGAGAACTCTGAATGTGAGGACATCTAGCTTTCACCTTATACACCACAGACCAGGCACAATTCCTCTTCAAGATCTCTGTGTCTGACCTGAGGAAGAGGAAAGAAAGTAAAACAAAAATCCCATTGCCCAGAGTTTTGCTGTGCAAATCTCTTTGTAAAAATGAGAACATCTACCAGATTTGGCCCTGGCTGTTCTGACTGGAAGCTGAATGGCTAAATAGCTAAATAATCCCTACCTACAGCCTTTTTTTCTTGATTTTATTAGAGAGGGAGAGGTTCAAACCTCCAGGTGTTTGCTGTTTGTAGCAAGGAGCTGTGGTTGGTTGGTGGTTTCTGTCTGCTGTTATGGACAGGGACTTTCATGGTCCTGGGCTGTCCAGAACCCTCTCATGTGTTTCTTGGTCATTCAGTTTATTCACATGGATTTAGGGAATTTTTGAGCTCTGAACTGCCATGTGAGTCAGGTGGGATTTTATGCTGTGTGTTTAAAGAAAAAAAGAAAAAAAAAAACCAACAACAAAAGAAACTCTGCTCTCAGCCCTGCTAGAAACTGAAGTAAATAATACACCTGTATCAGCAGTTTATTTGACAACATAAGTACAGGTTGGTGACAACTGCTACAAAAGGAAAAAAAAAGACATTTTGGTTATATGTTAGCATCTCCAGGAATTAGGGAAAAAAAATACCAGGAAAGCAGATATAGCCTGGATGTTTGCAAATGTTCTGTACCAGCACAGGGCTAAAATGTCTTGAAACCCAGGATTTAATTGACTTTATTATAACAATATCCCAATGCTGAGAGTAGGAAAATTCAGAGTGACAGGTACTTCATAGCTCTACAAGGACCAGGGTGCTGCAGGAGGAGGCACAAAGGCACAAGGTGTGAGTTGAAAATATAAATGGTATTTCCAGCTGTAACAATCCCCTAGAATTTCACCACGTGCAGAGCAGTGCTTGGGGTTGGTGGAATTCCTCAGGAAATGGCCAGACTGACCTGAACTGGTGGAAAATGAAACCAAACAGCCCAGAGTGCGTGGTAATTATAATGGTAATTATAAATATACTTTTATTATATATAAATATATAATAAATATATTATAAATACCAAGAGAGGGGTTGCTGGGTGCTGGCCTGCCCTTCCTTCAGGCTCAGGGCATCGCTGCCCAAGGGAAGAGCAGCTGAGCCCTCTGAGCTGCAGTGGGCACTGCTGAACTGAGGGCTCTGTGCTGGCAAAAACTGGGATTTGGCTCTTGCAGGGTGTGCTGGACTTGTGGAGACCTCCCTGTGCAGAGAGGAAGCCTTGCCAGCACCTGGCTGTCCCAAGCATCCATTTACAGACCTGAAATCCCAGTTTAATTCCATGAGGGTGAGTGTAAGGTACTTTTAGTTTACCCATTCTGGACAACTTTTTGCTGCTGCAGTAGACAGAAGTGCTTTGTAGAGGTTTATAATAGCTCTCAACCTAAGTGTTTCTACTGGATTCAAAGAGCTAATTATCCCTTTTAAATGCCTTTCCAAAATTGTTTTCAGATTTCTCCTCCATTATAACTGAACCCAAACTTGAGTGTCTCATGTATTTGTAACAGGTGCCATAGGACACCTTCTCAAAAAGAAACCAGCCAAAAACTGATGCCACAAAGTCAAAGGCAGCATCTTGGGGATATTTAGCCTCTTTTTTGGCTGAGTATATTCTATTCTATAATGTCTCCCTTAGACTGTTGGTTTATTTTCCATTGGCCTAAATGGTTTGGATGTACCGAGGACCTGGCCTTTTCATATGGAAAAGAAAGGTTTAGCACAAAGATTTATCTTCATGAGCTAGGGGAAAATTTCCTCCTTTTTGATGGACCCAGCCCTTTAAAGCCTCTGAAAGGAAACCAAATATCTTTAATTCCCAGGAGATATCTCAGAGGATCAGAGCTAAAACATTACTCTCTGAACTATTACACACAGAGACCTCTGCATGACCCTTTGTGTTTCAGAGTCTCAAGGCTGTGGATTCTCCAGAAGAACCTATTTCTTCTACAACCAGAGGCTGAACAAGAGTGAACCATTATAGAAGTTTAAATAAACCCCATAAGGTCATCTGCTGCTTAAATCCCTGCTACCAGGTCTGTAGATATTTTTGCTTTGTTTCTGGGCTAGCTCAGAGTCCCAGTGCCAAAGGGCAACATGGAAATTGTGCTGTTATTCTGAGCATGCAAGGTAATAAATGGTGCTGTCAATTGTTTTCACTCAAGTGACAGATTTATTCTCTTCAAAACCAATGACCAGGAATGGCTATTACAGCAAAAAGTTCACTATGTATCATCCTGTGCCTGTTGTTTAACAAATAATGCTAAGTCTAATTGCCTTCCTCTGCGGCCAACTATCTATGAGTTAATGGCTTTTTTTATTGAAGACGTGTAATTTACCATTGCTTTTGATGTGCCATCTGATTGAATGTCTCTGTGAATCACATCTGCAATCTAGCACTGCATGTCCCAAAGGAATACCCCTTATCCCATTGTTTTCTCATGATCTGGGTAAAAACAGTCTTGATTTTTTTTTTCTTAAACATGAACTATTAAGCTTCTGTTTCCCAGTTTCTAGTTTGATATTCCTGCTGCTGGCAGATGCACTAAAGTTTAATAAATCAGTTGCATGTGGGGATGTGTGACGTTTTATAGTACTAGAAACAGTGGGTTTAAATCTCAGTAGCACTTTTTCCAGAGTAAACATGGAATTAGCCTGGAATCTGATCCTGCAGCTCTGCCTAAACTCCCTTATAATCTAACTGCAGTCCTTTTTGATAGAACCCTGTTTTTCAGCAAGAAAATTCTGCAGATGATACACTTTAGGATACAAACATTACTGCTCTTTAAAGATCTTTTTAGTGATTCAGCAATGCCTGTTTTTCCACAAGTCTGTTCCTTTTTTTTTTCCCCAGTCAACATTGCAATGTTTTTAATGTTTTAGGAGGTTAGAAAATAGCTTCTAAAACTGTAAAGCTTACATAAAGCTTGCACTTCAACAGCATATTTTAGAAAGAGCTGATGGCAGACAAATGTTGAAGTTAAAGCCTTGCTTCTTTGGGAAACAATGCAGTTTCACATGCCAAAAAGAAGGTGATGGAGAGCAAAGGTAAAAATCTTAATTTTTGTACCTATTGAGGTCTGTTGTGGTTGAGAATGCAGTGATGTGGTCCCAAAAAGGTCATCAGAGATGTGAAGAGGTGACAGAGGCAGCTTGTGGGCCATTCTCTGCCCCAGGCACTGCATTTCAGGATTCCCCTGTTACCAAGAACTGTAGAAATGCAAGTTTTGTGCTGGTGTGATGGGCTGAATTAAACACACAGTGATTTATTCTAAAATGATTCTGAATGCTCAAATCATTGAACTCTCCTCCTCACAAAGATGGCTGATACTACTGGTAAAAGGATTTGTTGCTTTCATTGAATTTTTACGGCAGTATCAAACTGGATCAGTCACCCTGGTGTAAGTCACAGCAGTGTGACTTTTCCATGCAGATAAATTTTTAGCCAGCTCTTTAGGCCAGGGATTTTATTTAATGCCCCACAAATGTGCTTTCTCAAGCAGCAAAAGCCAAGGTGAGATTTGCCAGTAGGTGGGTGTGTGTAGGATTGATGGGGGTAGCATGGTTGGGACAGATGGAGATGAGAGATGTCTGCAGCCAGAGCTGGGAACTCGGGGTTTATTGCAAAGGGCCTGGGTGCAGGGCCCTGCTGGGATTTGGGGTTTATTGCAAAGGGCCTGGGTGCAGGGCCCTGCTGGGAGCTGCCAGCCACAGCTCAGAGCAGGCCCGAGAGAGGGAGAGAGAGATAAACAGAGTGGTAAAGAGGATGAGAGAGTGAGGTTCCCATTACAATACAATAAATCTTCTTCTGGTCTTGGAACTTGGGGTTTATTGTAAAGGGCCTGGGAGCAGGGCCCTGCTGGGAGCTGCCAGCCACAGCTCAGAGCAGGCCCGAGAGAAGAGAGGGGCAGAGAGGATGAGAGGGTGAGAGAGTAAAAGCATAGAGAGTAAAAGGGGTAAGAGCGTAAAAGACAAGATGTAAGAGTAAGAGGTAAGAGTTAAGACAGCTAAGTTCCCGTTACAATATAATAAATCATCTTCTGTGTTGAATATTCTAATTCTCACTAACCAATCTACAACATACAAATCCTATAGCATTTCCATACAGCCAATCAGAATCATTACATTACCATACTGTGCTACATTTTAAACCCTAAAAACTCCTCTTTGGGCCCCTTCTGCCAAGCTGGCAGGGTCTGCTGGGACCCTTGGACCTGTCTGCAAGCAGAGGGTGTTGTTCCATCAAAAGGGGATTACCTTCAGCTGGCCACACCGTTGTTTTCCAGTTGCTCAGTACTTGAGGTATCTCAAAGCTTGCTTTCATTTCAATCTCGCCTATAGTTTCCATATTCTCAAAATCTTTTGCCAGGCAATCATATTTATAAGGCTTTCCTGTTTCATCTTCTCTGAAGGTGTAAAATGTGATGGGGAAATCACAATAGGGGATACAGGTAGGACAGGAGCTGTGATTTGCCTTGCAGTCATTCAGCAGCCAGTGGAGGCACTGAGGGCAGTCCCAGTTATCCTGGGCTGGGAACCCTCCAGGAGAGGGGTGTCTGAAACCCTAGAAATGGGAGAGGGATGCCAGGCTGGCAGAGCAACATCCTGGGGATGCTCTCTCAGCACTCTGTTATTCCCCAGTTACAGCAATTTGCCAGCAAACCCCGAGCACAGATTGCTTTGTTCTGTTAAAACTAATATCCAGGAAATTCAGCCACAAACTTTTGCTATCACTTAGCTCTTATCTTGCTCTATTGCAAGAACTATTTGATGACCTCAACAGAGGCCTTGAATCCAGTAATCAGTTCTTCAAGTTTGCAACAAAATCTGTTCTTTTTTTTCTAAACAACTAAAAGTTACAAGAGGTTGTCTTGGCCTTTTATCTGTTTTGACAAATGAGGGCCTAGACCTCCTCCTCTGCATGCTGATCTGCTCTTGCAGGGTCTGGAAGGAGGATGTGGCTTGGCTCTCCAGACTCTGTCTCATGCAACCAAGCAAAGCAGGGAATTGCATTCCTTGTCTGAAAGGCAGCAGAGACTGCCTGGTTTTTATCAGGGCTGCCACCAAGAAGTTCAGCTGGTTGATTTGCATAGATAATTTTTAGCTCCTTTTTAGCCTGAACAGGAGTGATTTGGAGAGTAAATGATCTGAGTGATTCACTCCAGGCTTTATTCACTCTGGTGTTTTAGCCCTGAAAGCCAATGATGCTGGTACCTTTTTGCTCCAGCTGTGAGCCTCTGTTTGGTGTGGAATGGGTTAAATTTGCAGCCTGTGACTGCAAAGCATTTGTCTGAGGACTGGGAGCGTTCTTATCTTTACAGTGAAATATTATCCCTTCATGGTTAACAACCAGCAGCAAACCTGCTCATTGTGGAAGCAGTTTGGCATAATTAGCCGGTTAAAGAAGTCTGCCTATTGATTAACTGAACTAAATGACCCATAATTAAGAGCCCAACTGTGGAGCTAATCTATTTGGTGGTGTTTTCCTTCCCCTTACAGGTTTGGAACCTGCAGCTCTGTTGGCTGTCAGGGGATGGGTTGGTGTGGGTGGTAATTGAGTTGGTGCATCCCAGGGGCTGAAATGCACACCCTGATGGGTACAGGGGGATGCTGGCACCTTGCTGTCGCCTCTCAGACCTCAGAGGTGCAGCAGGAGTCCTGCTGGCCCTGGGAGGGTTTGCTGCCTTCCTCAGGGCTCACTGGAGCTGTCTGTTCCACATCAGATTGAATTTGGGGTTTGGAGGAGGTGGCTCCATCCCTGCAAACAGGCACACGGGTGTGGGCTGTTGTGAGAGGGCCCTATGTGCTGGAAGGGGACCCAGGCCAGGAGAAAGACAAAGCTGGGGCTGAAGTTGTGGGAAGCCATTTGTTTGGTTAGCTTGCAGTGCTGTTTCCTTGCAAAAAGTTGTCTGGTTTTAGTTGCAATTTGTGTCTAGTGTGATGCATCGTTTCTATAAAATGTTTTCAGACTGGAGTTTAACTTGGGTGGTTTAGAGGAGCTCCTGTTTATACCTGAATATTATTGAATCTCTCATTACCCCCTTTGTAAAATACCACTTTCTGCTCACACTTTTTCTCCTCTGTTTCACCTAAGATTATGCCCAAATGAGTTCATTGCTTTGCCCTCCCTTTGCGGCAATGCCATAAAAGCAGGATCACACTTTAGTGGTGACACCAGCCAGCCTGCACAGTCCCAGCTGGCACCAAGCTGCACCAGCCCAAGGGATTGATAACATTAAGCTACAGTTTCAAATAGTCACAAAGAAAACAATGGTTATTTTTTTTGGAAACTCAGCTCTTATCTGCCTCTTCTTCTCAATCAATCCTCCCCAAACCCACAAAAGTAGCAATCTGAACAGATTTGGTCTTGAAGAGTTTAAGGTTAAAGGACTTCTTAAGCACTACTCTTTCCTCTGCTGGGCCCACTGAAATAATCAGGAAAATTTTTTCACTGACTTTACTGAGGGTTAGAATAGGCCCCCCAAATCCTCATCCTCTCCTGCTTTGTGGAGGAAAGCTTTTTTGTGTGTTTCTGGCACAGAAAGGAGATTCCTTCTTCATGTTTTTTCCTTTAATCTCTAAAAGCTTTCAGCCATCCCCAGTGGAAGCTGCTGGTGACAGATTTTGCTGTGCTGGCATCCTCAACCTGAACCAGTGGAGGAGCAATTCAAGAAATAAAGACTTAGATCTTGGTTCTTGCTCTGGTCACACAATAGTGAGGGAGGTATCTGCTGGTAATGAGGAGGTTGTGCAAGGAGCAGAGGTACCTGGTGGATGTGGTAGGGTGATACAGATCCCCCTCCTTTGGACTGGGGACTTTGTGCTCCTTGTTTCATCTCTATTTTGCTTCAGATATGTCTGGGTCCAGAAATTGGAAATGCACTGGATGTGACAGCCTGATCTCTGTGTCTCTGGATGAGTGGGATGTATTACACATGGTCCCCAGTCTGAGGAGGCCTTTTCCAGGCACAGACCCCACTGTGCTGGGCTGAGTTGTGTGTTTGGGAGCTGGACTCGTGTCCCAGCTGTAAAACAC